AAATGAAAGTGTGGATTACAATGACATTGGATAGCATAAACAGTGCTGTAAACCTATTTTAAGACTTAGATAAGCTGTCTGCACCTGGGACCTGTTTGTTGAAGAAAACCCAGAGAAAGAGTGGAAAAATTACAAGCTGTAAACACTGTAGCTCTTTGATAGGACACAGATGCACAACTGAGTATTTGGAATTGGGGAATCATAGGAGACTGCTAAAAGATAAAAGAAGAATTTTATATCCTAACTTTCAACATCTTCTCTCTCGTTTCTTTATAAGAAACGACTGGAATAGTAAAGGAATTGGATTTACTCTTGCAAAATGCAACAGACAGGATGAAGGAAGTATTTAAAGAAGCTATGGAAAAAAGTAAAAAACTCCATACAAAGACTAATAAGTGAAGACCAAATTCTCCTGGAAAATGAGGAGCCAATAGAAGAAAGGGAGAAGCTAACAAAAAAAGAAGAAGGAAAAAGATAAATATGAGAAAATAAAAAACAATAGTGATGGATGAAGTAAACCTGGGGAAAAATATACTGAGAGGGTTGGATGCAGGGGTGGGTTCCTGCCAGTTCTAACCTCTTTTATAGAAGAGGTTCCGCAAATCTACAGTGCCATTTACAACCGGTTCCAGCTCCCTCCCCCCCCGCCCGTCCGCACATCAACAAGATGAAGAGCAAGAGGAGGAATTCTGGGACTTGAAGTCCACAAGTCTTAAAGCTGTCAAGTTTGAACACCCCTCGTTTTTTTTTCTAAAGGGTTAGGGGTGCAAGGGTCTTGTAACTTGACAGCTTAAGACTTGCGGGCTTCAAATGACAGTTTCTGAGCCAACATTTTGGTTGCTAAGCAAGAGTGTTGTTAAGTGAGTTTCACCACATTTTACAAGTTGGCCACTCCCAGCCGGTCACATGGCCGGCAAGCCACTCACACAAAGCAGGCCACACCTACAGAAGAGATTCTAATAAATTTTGAAACCCACCACTAATTGGATGGTATTTTGAAAAGGAAGAAAGGGGCTGGGATAGGAAGCTTTGTAACCACGAAACTGAAGAGAGTGGATATGGGAGGATCACTTGGATCTTCAGGAACTAGACATAAACAGAATCAGAAATGTAAGGGAGGAATATGGGAGGCAGCCCCCCCCTCCCCAAAAAAGCATAGCAAATAAAATACTGAAGCAGGCAATAGACAATTAGATGTTCTTTTTCTATTCTCTAGCGGTGTTTGGTTTTGCCTTTCTCCTCTCTCTTTTTTATTTAAAGCATAGCAACTATAAGGCTGAAACAGGCAAGAAATGATGAAGAGATAATTCCTGGTGTTATTTTGAGCAGCTCCTCTCTCCCTCGCCTGCTTATTTTACTGAGTGTTCTTTTTTCTTATACTCTGTTGTTTTTTGAAAAGGGACAAACTGTCAGATAAAAAAGACAGAAGTTAGAAAGGAAGAGATATTAAAAGAGGAAATCTTAAAAAGAATTGTTAAAGCAGAGGGTGTTAAGTATCATTGTGACTATGTTATTGCACAGCTAGTATTATGGTGATGAATGTTATAACAAGAATTAATACTATGTCTGATGAAACGTTAATTGAATATAAATAAAATCAATAAAAACATTTTTTTAAAGCCATTATTCACAAGTAGAAAACTTTCATGACAGTTGCCAATCCATGACATAGTAAAAAACCATCATTTTTATAAAATAAATGATGATCAGATGTAATATGTCATGTGTTGTATTTATCTGCAGTTGTATTTACCTACTTTTAAGAACTTCCAAGGACCAAATGATTTTTACTATGTCCTGACATGTAAAATCATAGAAGTCAACGAGAGTGAACTTTCTTTTTCACATGACTATATCTGGAGGTCCTGGTGATAGATTATATGTTTGCAGAAATGTACATTCAGAGAAAAATAAACACACACACACACACCTATAATATGGAGATAAACCATATATTTCAAGGCTGTGCTAATGTTCATCAGGAATCTGGTGAATTTGATGATTGCTCATATGTTGGGATGGTAAGGCTGAGGTTCAGGCCTCAACAGGATTCTGAGACCCTGGAATCTTTCGCTGTGGGTTAGGCATGTGGCTGAAAACACAGAAGGCATACTTGACTAGTTCCAATAATTTTTAAATATTTTTTTATAATTTCTGTATTTCTATATCTTATCTGTCGTGTGCCAACTGCCTCTTATTTAATGAAGCAAAAGCAAAGAAATGTATAAATATCTGCCTTGCACTACATTCTAGGTTCCTTCCTTCTTAGGAAGAACCCATCAGAGGAATAAAAACATTGGCTTCTCAATACACAAGCTTGGACTCTCTCTTTTGTTTTACTGAGCCACACCTGTCAATTTGCATGACACTTGCTTTTCAGATGTGGGGGCTTTAACTGATGAAATGATGCCTAAAGACTCTGCAAGATTTGAAGTACAACTTATGCCCGTGGAAGCACTGAGCTCCAAGTAAGAGCAGAAAATACTCTCCACAACTCCTTTGGTGACATCCCAATTGAAATAGTTTTCACTTACTGACTTCAATAGGGACTGGCATCTGTGTCGCTAAGCAGCCCAATGATGAAGCATGATGTCACATGACAGTGCCAACTTATATCTGTTCCTTTAACTTTAATATGTATGTATTTTTATATCTCTAAGCCGTCTACAGTTATGTCATGGTAAGGTTGGTGGCCAATACGTTTTATAAATAAATATACCTGAACAGTCAAAACATTCAATAGCTATCTTTAAAAAGTGCTGGGTTAAGTACAGTTGAACCTGGTTAATACAGGGATAGGGACCCCAATAGGAAATACCGTGCTTGCAATCATTTATACAAATGATGGATAAGGAATTAGATATTTTCTTTAAGGAAAACAAGAAGGATCAAACAAGGCTACAAAACCTATGGGATACCGCAAAAGCCTACGTGCAAGGTATAGCAGTAGCATATGCAGCAAAGAGAAATAAGGGAAAAAGGAAACAGCAAACACTATTACAGGAGAAGCTTAAAGAGTTGGAGATCGTGTTGCAGAAAGAACCACAAAATATTAAAATCAAAGAAGAGAGAGATTTGTGAAACACAAAATCAATCTAACACTTCAAGAAGAAATGATACGTAATATAAAAATGGCGAAACAAAACTATTTCGAAACAGCAAGTAAACCAGGTAGATGGCTGGCCCACAAATTGAAGGAAGAAAAAACCAAAAAGCTAATATAGCAATTACAGAACGAACATGGGAATTTGTTCCATAAAACAGCAGAAGAAAAATGTATAATCCAATTTTTTTTTTCAAACTTTATACAGTCAGGAAAATATTTCAGAAAAATTAATCCAAAATTATTTACAAGAGAAAAACCTATCAAGTATTTCAGAGGAAGCAAGAAAAATGCTAAATGAAAAAATAACTCTAACAGATAAAGGAGGCAATTAAGAAACAAAACAAAACAAAAAAATCACCAGGATCAGTTGGGATCCCCCCCAGAGATATATAAAAAATTTCAAGAAACCTTTGAGGAAATCATGTTAGAACTGTACAATGAAATACTAGAACAAGCAAAAATGTCAAGTTCATGGACTGAGGCATTTATAATATTAATTCCAAAAGAAGAAACAGACAATCAATTGATCCAAAACTATAGGCCAATCTCGCTGCTAAATGCTGACTATAAAATATTTATGACGATCATCGCGGAAAGACTTAAAAAATATTAAATAAAATTATTCATCTGGATGAAAACGGATTCCTACCCAAGAGACAATTAAGAAATAATACAAGAATTATAATGAATGTATTAGAATATTATGAANGGTGTCCCTCTTTACCAATCGGGAAATCTGGTCACATTACTTATCATGCGATCCTGGATCCCTTCCCCTGGAGTTCAATTAGATGGAAACAAGTTCGATCTTGCTTTCAAACAAGGAGAGAGAGGAAACCTGCTTTTCTAACTTGCAGGACCTGCTTTCTCAGTGTATCAGAGAAGTACAAAAACAGGCTTTTCAGAGGAGATTGAATCAGCTAGTTGGTAGACTTTGCATTTCTCATGCAACTCTTGGCCTCTTCTTAGCACCTCTTCTTAATCACAACAGGGTCCTTCATCTCAGGAGAGATAATCAGCCTTTCTCACTGAAACGGGATGCTCCTCTTTGCTCCAGGAGGGGGTGGGGGAAATCCCAGCAGCTGATTTCAGTTAGACTGCCAGCAGAGTTTGGGATTCAAATCCAATGTCTCTTTTATTCGAGGGGAGCTCAAATTAACCCCATCTTTACACTGTTCTGCCTCGGGTGGTTGCCCCATCCCCATGCCTGTAGAGGTAGAAGGGAGGCTTGAGGAGAATACCCTGTAGTGAGGGAGGCTGCCATCCCTTCTTGCTGATGGCCTTATGGCAGATGCGCCCTAGGGCTTTATGCCTCTGCCTTTCATATTTAGAGGCAGGTTTGGGAGGCTTGTAGCTGGAGTTTGCCCCTTTAGCCATCCTGGAGGCAGTGTGCTTCATTTTGCTCTTTGCCTAGTTGCCCTCACCCTTGGATGGACCTTCAGGGGTAATCTCTAACCTGATAGGAGGATCTTCTGCCCCTCCAGTGGGGCTGCCGGCTTTAGAAGTGAGGACTTGATTCCTGCCTGTGTCCTCCGAGCTGCAGGAGGCCGCCATCTTGGGCCACGTGGGGCCTCTCCTCCCCCTTCTTTTCAAATGGCTCTGCTCGGCAAATACAACAGCCCTTCCCGTCAGGGCTTTGAAACAAAATGGCTTGTGCTACTAAGAGCTGCCTCTCACCTGTGGCCTCCTGCTGTTAACAGCTGCTTTCCTTTCTCTTCCTTAAAGGGGAAGTTTTTCCTTAAAGAGAAGACTTTCTTTAAAGGGGAAGCCTCAGCAACCATTTGAGCCTCGTTGCCCTGTCTGGGCTTCTCCGGCTAGTCAGGCACTCAGAAAAGGATTGAATAGGGCTTGCNGAACGGCTCCCAGATTTTCCTCCCACCTGCCCTCAACTCACCTTCCAGCTGCGGCTTCGATCCTTAGCACAAAAGACACACCACCTCCCATCAGTCATCCGGAAGAAGTTCCTCTGAGCTTTTCTTTTCCCCTCCTTTCTAGCAATGCAGTACTCAATGGTTTAAAACTCCTTTTCTAAGCTTAAGCACGGATGGCACTAACGTGTTGATGGCTTTTTAGGGATAGATGTTGCCTGACCGCCATCTAGCGCCAGGAAGTGGAAAAACACGCGTGTCTAATCTCCACCCAGGCATTTGGAAGATGTTTTCAGTGATTACATGGTCCTTTTCGACTCCTAGCAACCGACCTTTGCAACAGAGCCAAGTGAAATAGTGAAACGTGACGCTACTTACTTTCGTTTTTGGTGCCTTTGGGTCAATCTTGATGCCTGGCCTTGAAGTTTCCATTGAAAGGGGTTTTGGAAGGGATGTTCCCCCTTCCCTGCTCCCTAAGCTTGAGAGGACTGGCCAAAGTTGAACAGATGGTTTTGCCCTTCAGGTGGGACTGGAACAGAGTGTTTCTCTGTCTCTAACCTGGTGCCTTCACCACTACACCCAACTGGATCTTCTTCCTACCCACAAAATCTACCCATTGACCTGTTCCTGCTGCTCCAACAGCAAATTCAAGGATACAGTTTTCAAGATCAATCAATGACAATAGAGCTGGAAGGGACCTTGGAAGTCTTCGAGTCTAAACCCCTGCTCAAGCAGCATTTCAGAGAAGTGACTATCCAGTCTATTTTTAAAAACCTGAAGCCACAAGATCTGGAGGCAAAGCTGTTCCACTGGTTTATTGTTCTCACTGTTAGGAAGTTTCTCCTTAATCCCATGCTTTTTTCTCTCCATTTGTTTACATCCATTGTTCCTTGTCTTGCCTTCTGGTGCTTTGAAAATAAGTAGACCCCTTCTTCTTTGTGGCAACCCCTCAAACATTGGAACACTGCTATCATGTCACCCCTAGTCCTTCTTTTCATTAGACTAGACCCATGATGCTGAACCTATGCCACGCATGCCAGAAGTGGCACATCTCTCCAGGGATGCAAGCCATCGCCCGTTGCTTATTTTTATTGCTGTCACTCATTGTTGGCTCACATTTTAAGTGATTCTCCACTAGGACTCCCAAGATCCCTTTCACAATTACTGTCATTAAGCCAGGTTTCATATAGTTTGTATCTATAAATTGGTTTTTCTTGTCTAAGTGTACACCTTTAATTTTAAATCTTTTGAATATTATTTTGTTAGAGCCCACTGTTCAAATCTGTCAAGTCATTTTCAATCTTGACAGTGTCTTCTGGGACGTTGGCAATTCCTGCCAGTTTAGTGTTGTCTGCAAATTTGATGAGTTCTTTATCCCCTTGTTTATGAAGATTTTGATGAGTACTGGGTCTAAAATGCAACCTGAGGGTACCCCATTGCTTACTTCCCTCCATGTGGGTGTAGTTCCATTGAGGACTAAATCTTGAGTACAATTTGTCAGCCAGATAGGAATCCATTTTGTGGTGATGCTGTCTATCCCAATTTTTTTCTAGCTTGCCAAGAAGTAGCTTGTGATCTACTTTATCAAATGCTTTACTGAAATCTAAGTATAAAATGTCCACAGCATTTCACTGGTCTACTCTGTCAGAGTTTGCACAACATGACTGCTATTTTGAGACAACCCAGGAGCAAAATACAGGACAGAGGTTTGTCTTACAAACAGTGGTGTGTGCATGCATGTGTACACACACACATTCTAGACACAGCTAGGCAAGCAATCTCCAATTCTACAGCCTCACATGGCCTCCCTGACAAAGACAGCTTCTTAAAGTGACTTGCTGCTGACTTGCTCTTCTTTCATCATATCAGTTTACAGCTGGTCAGCTATTAAATCTTCATTACCCCATACGCTCATTTAGTCACTTTGTCAAAGAATTAAATAAGGTTTGTTTGGCATGATCTGTTTTTGATCAACCCAGGTTGGCTACTGTTTATAACTTTTGTTTGCCTCTCCCCATGAGGATCTCCGCAACATAACATGGAAAAGGAATGGGAGGGGCAGGAAACTGAGCTCCCAGTTCCCTTTTCTCCTTTCCTGCCTGCTCTCTAGGTGCAAGGGGAAAGCTCTTTGCATTTAACCCCTTCGCTGAAGCCGCTGCTGGGAGGGGGGCGACTGAGATGCCTCTGGAGAATGCCAAAGTCCTCCTGCCAGGTCCAGAGAGAGGCCTCACCCATATCACCTAAACAAAAAGCCAAGGGATGGAAACAAGCACCCAGATTTTTTTTAAAATTGAGACTGAAAATCATTGGACTAGTAAAAGCAACTTGCCTGCGCTAATCCACAATAAATTAGGTGAAAATTAAGAAATTAGGGGTAAATGGATGTTGAAGAGGGGCAGGGAAGACCTGCAGATGTCACTGGATTACAAGGCTCACCATTCTTCACCCATGCAATTCCTGGCTAGTGATGCTGCCATTTCAATATCTAACCTTATAAAGCATGTCAGGAGTCCAGCAGCGCCTTTTTTAACCCATTGTATTAAAAGGTGCAGCTCCTATAAGCCTTTTCACAAAATTTCTTAGTCTGCAAAGGAGCAATTCGAGGCCTTCTGATTTTTGCCGCCATAGACTTACAGGGTCTCTTCACAATCCTGCAGAAAATGCCTTGTACTGAGTAGGTGGATTTCCTAGCTTTCTCCTACCGTTTAAGGGTTTTCATTTTTCAACATTGGTGTGCCCAAAAGACAAGCCATTTCCCCTTTTTTACTGGTAGAATTTTGTATCATCGAAGATATCTGTAAGTCCTGGAGAGAGATTATACATGTACACATATATGTGGTTACTGTTGGAAGAAAAATCTGATCCAGCTCTAAGGCAGAAGAAAGATGCTGGGAATAAAATGGAGGCTGACTGAAAAGGATTCTTGTTTATTCATGAGCAGAACCAGCAATATCATGTAGCTCTGGGAAAGCTGAGAAAATGGTTAAATGAGTGGATGGAGCTTTAGGCTTCTGTGAATTTGAAGTATGGACTGTTCTCAGGATTGTGCAATGAAGGGGCTTTAAAGTCTTTTGCGATTTCAAGGGTGGTGGGTTAATGCTATTATGTGCTAAAAGATCACCTCCTGTCCTTAGAATTTGGGTGGAGGAATGCAAATTTTAATCCCATTAATTGGTGTTGAAGGTCTTTTGTTTGTGAATAAACTGGCGTCCATTGTCTTCTCTTACTTTCTCCTTATAGGAGGAGCCACAATCTGTACCTTTAGCTCCTATCCCTGAGAGATACTGGCTGGAGAATTCTGGCTGAAAAACCTGGGAGCACCCAGGGAGAAAAAGCTGGGATTCCTGACATGTAGTATTTATATTATCTACCATTAAAAAATGCAAAAAACACTTTTGAAAATATTTTTACATACCTAATTGTCCAATTTCTACAAAAATAAATATCCAGCAATTTCTTATGCTGAAGGCCAGATAGCCATTATCAAAATAATATGTTGCAACTTTTTTCTTTCCACTTCCCCAACTAACACCATTACATATTTACCTACAAAAATATCAGGCAAATTCTATTGAATTTAATCAATTTAAATAGTCAATTTCTCAGCTGGACTTACAATGGGACACTAGAAATGAAATTCAAGCCTTCTCTACATTCATCACTTGGGGCAGCATGTGGATTTTCCTGTCTGCGATAAGGGTGGAATATTTCCTGAAGCACCATCCACACTCAAAGCACTAAAATGGTTTCTCCCTTTTGTATACAACAACATGATTTAAAAGGTTAACCCTAGTACTGAGATCTTTCCCACGGTCTGGACACTCATACAGTTTCCCTCCTGTGTGAGTCCTCTGGTGTTTAACCAGACTGGAATTATTACTGAAACTTTTCCCACAATCAGCACATTCAAATGGTTTCTCTCCTGTATGAGTCCTCTGGTGTTGAACCAAGCTGGAATTCTGACTGAAACTTTTCCCACATTCAGGACATTCAAAAGGTTTCTCTCCTGTATGAGTCCTCTGGTGTTTCATCAGGTTGGAATTATTACTGAAACTTTTACTACAATCAGAACATTCAAAAGGTTTCTCTCCTGTGTGAATCCTCTGGTGCTGAACCAAGCTGGAATTCTGACTGAAACTTTTCCCACAGTCAGGACATTCAAAGGGTTTCTCTCCTGTGTGAGTCCTCTGGTGTTGAACCAGGCTGGAATTATGACTGAAACATTTCCCACAGTCAAGACATTCAAAGGGTTTCTCTCCTGTGTGAGTCCTCTGGTGTTGAATCAGGCTGGAATTCTGACTGAAACATTTTCCACAATGAGGACATTCAAAGGGTTTCTCTCCTGTGTGAGTCCTCTGGTGTTGAACCAGACTGGAATTCTGACTGAAACTTTTCCCACAGTCAGGACATTCAAAGGGTTTCACTCCTGTGTGAGTCCTCTGGTGTTTAACCAGACTAGAATTCTTGCCGAAACATTTCCCACAATCAGGACATTCATACGGTTTCTCTCCTGTGTGAGTCCTCCGATGTTGAAACAGACTTGAAGTATGACTGAAATTTTTCCAGTCTGAAAACTCGTACAGTTTCCCTCCTGTATGAGTCCTCTGGTGTTTAACCAGGCTGGAATTTTGACTGAAACTTTTCCCACAGTCCGGACATTCAAAGGGTTTCACTCCTGTGTGAGTCCTCTGGTGTTGAACAAGGCTGGAATTCTGACTGAAACGTTTCTCACAATCAGGACATTCAAAGGGTTTTTCTCCTGTGTGAATCCTCTGGTGGCCAATGAGGTTGGAATTTTGACTGAAACTTTTCCCACAGTCAGGACATTCAAAAGGTTTCTCACCTGTGTGAGTTCTCTGGTGGCCAATGAGGTTAGAATTCCGACTGAAACTTTTCCCACAGTCAGAACATTTAAATGGTTTCTCTCCTGTGTGAATCCTCTGGTGGCCAATGAGGTTGGAATTTTGACTGAAACCTTTCCCACAGTCAGGGCATTTAAAGGGTTTCTCTCCTGTGTGGATCCTCTGGTGTTGAACCAGGCTGGAATTCTGAATGAAACATTTCCCACAGTCAGGACATTCAAATGGTTTCTCTCCTGTATGAGTCCTCTGGTGTGTCACCAGGTTGTAATTGTTACTGAAACATTTTCCACAATCAGGACATTCAAACGGTTTCTCCTTGGTGTGAGTCCACGTTGCCATGCTCACTAAAGCATTTACTGCATTGGGAGCACTTGGAAAGCTTTTCTCCTGTGCAAGTCCTTCCATGATCCACAATGGAGTTGTTCTTACTAAACGTTTTGCCACATTCAGAGTGTTTGTATGGGTTTTCCCAACTCTGGATCCTATCAGTCATAATCAGCTGTGATTTGCAAGTTGTATCCTTCCCACAACAGGAACGTCCATGGAGCTCTACCAGAACTAATATTCCTGAGAATGTCAAAAATATGTTGTCAAATTTGTTTGGTGGTGTTTTGTTTCAAGCCGTTTTCTTCCTCCCAGAACAAGGCCTGCACCATTGTCTGCTCTACGTGGTTTTCCAATTGTCTTTTTCTTCCCCAGTAACTTCCAGATATTTCCCCCTTTTGCTGGATGGAAAAATAATCTCCCTTGACAATTCATGTAATATATGCTTGAACTTTCCCAGCTAGAAATCTCTTCTTGACTTTCTTTCATTTCTCTCTCAACTGCTGATAAAGGTGAAGAACTGTGTGGCTCTCTGAAGGAAATGGAAAATATTTGAATTTCTTGACTGACTTGCTTTGCTGTTCAAGCTTGCTTGTTATCCTCAGTTGTCCAGAGTGCTCTTATTGCCATCCACTTTGTCTATAAGATTAAAATAAAAGTATATTTAAAGTTCACTGCGCCAATCACAATTTCTTAGCAGTGCAGAGGGTTGTTTTCAAATACAATCAAGTGGGGAAAAAACCATCCTCTTTGATTTCTATTGTTTTCCTTATCAGGGTATCAAAAATATTATCGCAACTGAAGATGAAACTGCTTGTGTTTTGTTGGTATTTACTTTGAAAAACCTGCTTTTGGTAATGTATTGTATATTATTATTATTTTGAATCCTGCTGAATAACAATCCAGTTATTGTGGTTTCTGAATGTGATTGCTGCTGCAAACTCTGACCAGCAAGGTCAGCTTCAGCACTTACTGCAGTCTGATTCAGCACAGCTGATTGGCAGGTGGATTGGACTGCCAGAATTGCCGCAATCAGCTGCTCCAGGCTTCAGGGATTGTCAAAGACCATTGCTGCCTCCATGCCTTGCATCTTTGGCTTCTGGTGGGGCTACATTTGGTGTATAAGATGCACCCACATTTTCACCCTCTTTTTGGGGGGAGAAAGATGTGTCTTATACTCCGAAAAATATGGTATATCTCTCACTCTACAGCAGGAAGCCACTGCTCTCCTATTCCCTTGTCTGCATCAGGTTTGGCCCACAGAAGCCTCTGCTCTCCTATTCCCTTGTCTCCCACAGGTTTGGCCCACAGAAGCCTCTGCTCTCCTATTCATTTGTCTCCCTCAGGTGTGGCCCACATAAGCCTCTGTTCTCCTATTCCCTTGTCTCCCTCAGGTGTGGCCCACAGAAGCCTCTGCTCTCCTATTCCCTTGTCTCCCTCAGGTGTGGCCCACATAAGCCTCTGCTCTCCTATTCCCTTGTCTCCCTCAGGTGTGGCCCACAAAAGCCTCTGCTCTCCTATTCCCTTGTCTCCCTCAGGTGTGGCCCACAGAAGCCTCTCCTCTCCTATTCCCTCGTCTCCCTCAGGTGTGGCCCACAGAAGCCGCTGCTCTCCTATTCCCTTGTCTGCCTCAGGTTAGGCCCATAGAAGCCCCTGCTCTCCTATTCCCTTGTCTGCCTCAGGTTTGGCCCACAGAAGCCTCTGCTCTCCTATTCCCTTGTCTGCCTTAGGTTAGGCCCACAGAAGCCCCTGCTCTCCTATTCCCTTGTCTCCCTCAGGTTTGGCCCACAGAAGCCTCTGCTCTCCTATTCCCTTGTCTGCCTTAGGTTAGGCCCACAGAAGCCCCTGCTCTCCTATTCCCTTGTCTCCCTCAGGTTTGGCCCACAGAAACCTCTGCTCTCCTATTCCCTTGTCTCCCTCAGGTTTGGCCCACAGAAGCCCCTGCTCTCCTATTCCCTTGTCTGCCTC